GACGGAAAGTTTGTGTACTATCAGTAGGAGGTAATATTTAGTGATGTTGTACATGAGGTGCTTACCTTTAGAGTTCAAGAGCTCAGTTGGATTACTGGTTTGAGGAGCTATCTTGCCCGAGTACATCAGCAATGTAAACACCAATGCAATAACAGCAATAAGGAACATCAAAAATACTATCAATTTCAACCACAGTGGTATTTTTGCACCTATTTTCAAGCCACCATCGGTAACCTGTTCACTTGTTCTTACTCCGTTCTCCTCCAACACCTTACCAGCCGCTATGTGAGCAGGATCCTGGCTGTGCTCGAAAGTTGGGTTTTTGAAAACGCCGTTATGTCCAAACGAGCTCATGTTTCAACGGTAAACACTGATTCTTTTTGAATATATCGATGGTCTTCTGAGTGCTTCTATATTGATCGTTTCTCATTGAACGGCCTGTCAAACATTAGAGTGTCTTTTAAGGTCACAATCACAGGCACTCGAAAGAAAATCCATAAGAATTCAGACTAATCCTGACACCTGTACAATTTAAATTGACTTTGAAAAATACATTGATACTAATTTTTGTAATTTTGATGAGATAAGTTTCTCATTTGCTTCATGGTAGCTTGGTACCCTGGACTATGACTAAAATGTTACCAAATTATAATGTAGATCATAAAAGAAAGAAACAGAGTTGCATTTTATTTAAATCTTATTATAATTATGTACTTGTAAATTGTGACTATTAGGCTTATTAGAGTAATGCGGGCAATGAATATACTTCGCAGTCAAATGAAGATAGCTCTTGCGTGCATCATTCATGATTTGAACACTTTTGCTCTCATTCACTTTGATATGTGCTCTCGTACTTGTATAAATTAAGGAAACAAATGCTGCAATGCTAAGACCTTGATACATATATCGATCTCGACAATATACAAAACCCAGAACACACACTGGTAGTGATATATATGTAAAAACTGGAACGTTTTGATCAGGAACGTGCAGACTGTTAACTATGTCACATACTTTGTCCAGAGCGCATGCGCGTATGGTCTGTAAGGTATATTGGTAAGGTATATATTCGTCCTTATATTGATAAGGTATATCCGTGTTGGATACGATTGGGATTCGTACGGCAAGGGGGCTGTCATATACACTCTCAACCTCGTAGCCAGGGCTTTCTCTTCCTCGCTATTTACAAAATGGCGTCCGCCACTTTGTAAATAGCGAGGAAGAGAAATCCCTGGGTACGAGGTTGATACACTCTCTATTTACCTCCTAACTAATCCATAAATACATTCTTTGCTTTTGTAATTAACTACATTTTTTAGACTCAAGCAGCTGGAACAACAACTGTCAAAGGAGTCAACTTTATAAACTTTATGATAAAGAACATGACATAATATTTTTATATTTAATATCCTCTGTAGAACAAGAATATGATTAACGGTTTTTTATTTGCGTTGTGTTTTTTTTTTCTTTTAGGCAAATGCACTAAATCCGTGAAACAAGTTAATTTTCTAATTACTAATAAATAGTGTTGATTAGACATTAGGAAGCAAACGAATGAGGTCAATCTACTATCTACTATACATTTAAAACATTATTAAGATATTAGCGGACATTCTGTGTAAGTTATTATGCACATCATTTTTGGAGGTGCCGGTATAATAGGAGAAACTCCTGCCGTATAATTATAGTTTCCTTGTCCTAAGCATCGACAGGTATAGTTTTTATTGCTACTATTTCCCATGCTTTCCACAATGTCTGCGTTATTTGAGGAGCATGAAAAATGCAGAATCTTTTTTCCCTGAAAAAAAAAAGAATACAATTTGTAATGTATATTTTAAACCGTTCAACTTTGTACATATCAATCAGTTCCTTTGGAGAATGTTCTTTTGCTGTTGTTGTTGTTGTTGTTGCTGTTGTTGTTGTTGTTTTTATTGCATCATTATCAAGTCAAAAACGGATGTGTGGGTATTTAGAAATTTCAATCATATGAAGGTGCTGTTATTATGGAATTTTACGCGACTTTGCGATTGCACAACCGAAAGTAGCCATGGGATTTGCTAATTGAAGGGAAAATAACAACTGATTTATACTGTAAGATAGTCTGTGGTAAACATTGTAACCATTTCTATGCAAGGTGAATCTAATAAGTGAAATTTTGTTTGTCAAACATCACTTGTAACCATAGTCCCTTTCGGAGTTGTGCAATCTCGTACAATCGTCCTTCGTCGTCCTCCTCGACAGCGTTTTTTGAATAGGAGTGTTTAATCCTAGAGATATAAACATACCGTTTCTTCTATTACTGACACTGATTCATATGCGTTATTGCCAAGTGGGGCTGTCCCATTCGACTCTAAAATTTTGACAACACACTGTGTTAGATTTCCAGCTCCTGTATCTCCCTTGTCTCCTTTTACTCCTTGACTGCCATTGAAAC